AAATAAATAAATAAATAAGATATCATCACCGTGGGGAGGGGGGCGATGATAACTTCCTCAATGGCTCAAGGGGGCGTTTCTTTCAAAAAGGTTAAGAACCACTGTCTTATATAACTCAGAAAAGAGCATAATGTGGAGCTAATCCATAGATCAATTACACTCAGAAAGATACAGTATCTGCCTTTGCCAAATACTGTAGATGATCTTGAGACGGGAAAGTTATTTTCATCTACCAGCACATGTTTCTGAATGGGGACCATTACCTCTTTGCATTGTGATTTTAGGATGTTTGGCTCAAATCTGTGAGGAAATAGTTGGCTTCTGCTTTTTCATCTGTTTAATTTCTTTAAGCATCCACACATTACAGACACAAGTGGAATATATTTACTAGATGGTCCAGTGATATTCATGTTTGTTTCATTACAGGGTGTATTTGAGAAGGTTTTTTCTTTGTGGCCTCTATCCAAGTGTTTTGAGCTAAATGGGAGCATCTATGAATGGTGGTTTAGGTGGAAATTGGATAGATATGTAAGTAATCTTTTAATATTTATGATGTTCATTTGTATGCAGCATACCTGTAAACTATAGATGTCAGCATTATACAAAGTGGTCTCAGTGTGCAGTGAGAACAAGAAAAAGCAGATGGATAATTCCAGGCTAAATTACACCAGGTTGCCACAAAATAACTTGTTCATTCACAGCTTCTCTTTTTACATAGTACATAATGTGATCCTCAACATAAAACAGAACCTGTGATCGAAAACCTATGCAAGTAGTTTTATCTATGTGACTGTTGCTCAGTAAGATATAATAACAGGAAATCAGTGGGCACTTGTGTTGTGTGTCTGACCTGAAGAGACCCACTTCAGTTTCTGTTATGCCCTTTAAATTGGCATTGGTTGTCAAAATGGAGGCACTGTAGGTAGACAAGAACATTTATATGTATTGTACATGTCTTATGTGAACTCTTTCGTTAAATGCACCAGTGCTGAAATTGAATAGTTCTTCCTTTCTCTTTTAGGTTGTTTTTTATGGGATGTTGTTTGCTTTTATTTATTTAACATTTCAGAAGCGTCAGGCTCTCTCAGAAGGAAAAGGGGAGCCACTTTTCCCCAACAAAGTTTCAAATATTTTATTATTTATTTCAGTTGTTTCTTTCTTGGTAAGTTTCCTAAAAATATTTTTCAACTAGTACCTTTATTATTTCATTAGTTGTTACTTTGAATGAAAGTAATCCACCTGCCTATGTATAAGAAGCCACAGTGTTGGCCTGCAGACATTCAGTTCAGATAGTTTTGGAAGCTGCAGTCAGAAAACAGCATACTTTAGGGCACAGGTTGGTGGCTTACAAAGGTAGAAGCCCTCTTTGTCAGCTGGGCAGCCACTTGAAGTCTTCCCATCCTAAGGGAATAAAGCCTAAGGGGCTTACAAACACATGTGTGGACATGTATACATATGTGCAGTATGTTTTATATATGTAATTGTATGTTTAGTAACATTTCTTAGCATTAGGAACTTCTCAGACCCACTGAGACTTAAGTAATTTTTATTATAAAATAATTGGTTTGAGTTTATTAATGACTATTTCACAATTCTTCCACCACCACCCAAAAAAAACCAGTAGGGCATACTGAACAATTGAAATTAAAGATACTATTTAATTAATTATAGAATAAATTTAAATCAACTTTGAGAACCATGCATTTGAAATTTTATTACTATGGAAGAAGAAATGGCAGGACTTGTTTAAATAACAATGATGTCAAATCCTGTTAAAATAACAAAAAGAGAGAGAGAGAGAGATTTGCAATTAAGGGTAATTAAAGGTTTATTCACTACTGGGAAAACTTTCAGCCAGCACTGGCTTACTGAACTAAGCCGCCATTTAACTGCTGCCTAATTTTGGCTACAAGATGTAATTCTTGTTTTTTGTTTTTGTTTTTTAAACAAAAAATGTATGGGGATAGTAGCAGGCCACTAAAAATGGCATGAGGGTTATACTTTAGCTGTCACAGATATTTCAGTAGAGAAGCGGGGGAGGGGAGGGGTGGCCTCAACAGTCCTAGGCATAAGTACATAGAAAGAAATCCCATTAGGTGGGGCTTATTCTCTAAGTTTTAAATTTAAAGCCAACGTTTTGACTATTTTGCTTTCACTATATTGGCTTCAGTTAAAACCCTGAAAAATAATTGCCTTGTTTGACTAATAATTTGTATTTTATGTTTCCTAGACATATTCTATTTGGGCAAGTAGCTGTAAAAACAAAACTGAGTGCAATGAAATGCATCCATCAGTTTCTGTTGTGCAGGTATTTATTTTTCCTTTTTTATTTACCTTCCTTTTTCTATAGCTCAGTAGCTTTAGTCTTTCTCATTATTACCATAAATAATGTGCAAATGCTAAAACTCAAGAAACAATGGACTAATCTGACCTTCACCAGCAATGTCAGAACAGGTTAAACAGTAAAGTATTATAAGAGCTTTGGAAGACCAGGATGGTATAATTTGGTGGCCAGAACCGTGTTAGGTAATGCCATCTGGTGAATGCAATTGGTGTAAATCTCAGCAGCAAATAGCTGCAAAATAAGAAGTCAGTGTAAAAACATAGTATAGTGCTGGCCATTGTCTTACGTTTATAATGGTATCTTTCTCCTCGCCCCCTAACTCCAATAAATGTGTTCATATATACTGCAACACATTGGTGTACTCAGTAGGACAGCCATCATATATTCAATGGATTTCTTCTCTGGAGACTGCTACTTCCAAGTCAGCAAAATCTTTTCTCTCATTACAGTGATACGGTACTTCATTTTTAACATAAAGGTGGCTGACACCTATTTAATTACACGGACTTGCAAACCAAAATTCCTTGCACCATTTCCCACTGTCCTCCAACAGAATTGCCACTTACAACTTGTTTGTCGTGGAACTGACAATTGGAGGTTTTGGCAACTGAGCTTCCAGTTATATCATCTCCAGCTGAACTTCCTTCATCTGCTTACTGCATTTGCCTATTGATGTAGAATAATTTATAAATTCTATAAATAAATAGATAAATTTCACAGACATGCTATAATGTAAGCCAGTAGCTTTATTCTCTCGCATGAGAAGAGAAGACTCTTTGGAAAAGACCTTGATCTTAGGAAAGTGTGAAGGTAAGAGGAGAAGGAGACGACAGAGGATGAGATGGTTGGACAGTGTCTGCGAAGCAACCAACATAAAATTGACACAACTTTGGGAGGCAGTGGAAGATAGGAGGGCCTGGCGTGCTCTGGTCCATGGGGTCACGAAGAGTCAGACACGACTAAACGACGAGCTTTATTAAGCGTATGTTGGGGCTCAGTATTATAAATTTTAAGTATTAATACTCACTATGCCCACAAAATCAATATCTATTTCAGAAAAAATGCAGTTGAGTACTATGTGAATGACTTTTGGAGCCTTATGGTGCAGTGGTTAAACTTCAATACTGCAGCCAAGACTCTGCTCATCCATCACTGGGGTTCAATCTCAGATAGCCAGCTTGAGGTTTACTCAGCCTTCCATCCTTCCAGGATTGGTCAATTGAGTGCCCAGTTTACTAGGGGGACAATGGGTAGCCTACATAATTAAATTGTAAACTGCACAGAGAGTGCTTTAAACTCCACGGGGCAGTATATAACCAGCATGTTTTGCTTTGCTCTTTCTTTCTTTGCTTATTAATAACATATGCATGCTGTTCCATGATGTAAAGTTCTTTGGGGAGCTTATAGTGAATGTACATAAAAATAATCTAAATACAAAACAGAACCTAAAAAGAAATCAAACACTCTTTATCTCCTTTTGAATTGCTATGAGAATGAAAGTGTCTGACCTAACTATATTATGTTCTTATATCCAAAGTGAGCTAAACTGGGTGATTTATGGATTGTTCATCATCCCTGATTTTAACTACAGTTTACTGAAGCAAAACAGAAATAAAACTGTTAATACTGAATGATGGTTCATTGAAACAAGATCTGTTTTTGTCTTATTTCATTAAACTACAGTTTAAACTAGGAATGCACAACTCATAGCTTGCTAGTGGTCACTTGCCATGCCTGGTGTAGCCCTCACCCACATTTCCTTCCTATTCAACTAAACAGCTGCCTTGACACTACTACAGTGGGGTCTTGACTTGAGAACTTAATCCGTATTGGAAGGCGGTTCTCAAGTCAAAAAGTTCTCAGGTCAAATCTGCATTTCCCATAGGAATGCATTGAAAACCATTTGATCCGTAGCTGCTCTTTTCCCATAGAAACTATATTCTATTTGGGCAAGTAGCTGTAAAAACAAAACTGAGTGCAATGAAATGCATCCATCAGTTTCTGTTGTGCAGGTATTTATTTTTCCTTTTTTATTTACCTTCCTTTTTCTATAGCTCAGTAGCTTTAGTCTTTCTCATTATTACCATAAATAATGTGCAAATGCTAAAACTCAAGAAACAATGGACTAATCTGACCTTCACCAGCAATGTCAGAACAGGTTAAACAGTAAAGTATTATAAGAGCTTTGGAAGACCAGGATGGTATAATTTGGTGGCCAGAACCGTGTTAGGTAATGCCATCTGGTGAATGCAATTGGTGTAAATCTCAGCAGCAAATAGCTGCAAAATAAGAAGTCGGTGTAAAAACATAGTATAGTGCTGGCCATTGTCTTACGTTTATAATGGTATCTTTCTCCTCGCCCCCTAACTCCAATAAATGTGTTCATATATACTGCAACACATTGGTGTACTCAGTAGGACAGCCATCATATATTCAATGGATTTCTTCTCTGGAGACTGCTACTTCCAAGTCAGCAAAATCTTTTCTCTCATTACAGTGATACGGTACTTCATTTTTAACATAAAGGTGGCTGACACCTATTTAATTACACGGACTTGCAAACCAAAATTCCTTGCACCATTTCCCACTGTCCTCCAACAGAATTGCCACTTACAACTTGTTTGTCGTGGAACTGACAATTGGAGGTTTTGGCAACTGAGCTTCCAGTTATATCATCTCCAGCTGAACTTCCTTCATCTGCTTACTGCATTTGCCTATTGATGTAGAATAATTTATAAATTCTATAAATAAATAGATAAATTTCACAGACATGCTATAATGTAAGCCAGTAGCTTTATTCTCTCGCATGAGAAGAGAAGACTCTTTGGAAAAGACCTTGATCTTAGGAAAGTGTGAAGGTAAGAGGAGAAGGAGACGACAGAGGATGAGATGGTTGGACAGTGTCTGCGAAGCAACCAACATAAAATTGACACAACTTCGGGAGGCAGTGGAAGATAGGAGGGCCTGGCGTGCTCTGGTCCATGGGGTCACGAAGAGTCAGACACGACTAAATGACGAGCTTTATTAAGCGTATGTTGGGGCTCAGTATTATAAATTTTAAGTATTAATACTCACTATGCCCACAAAATCAATATCTATTTCAGATAAAATGCAGTTGAGTACTATGTGAATGACTTTTGGAGCCGTATGGTGGAGTGGTTAAACTTCAATACTGCAGCCAAGACTCTGCTCATCCATCACTGGGGTTCAATCTCAGATAGCCAGCTTGAGGTTTACTTAGCCTTCCATCCTTCCAGGATTGGTCAATTGAGTGCCCAGTTTACTAGGGTGACAATGGGTAGCCTACATAATTAAATTGTAAACTGCACAGAGAGTGCTTTAAACTCCACGGGGCAGTATATAACCAGCATGTTTTGCTTTGCTCTTTCTTTCTTTGCTTATTAATAACATATGCATGCTGTTCCATGATGTAAAGTTCTTTGGGGAGCTTATAGTGAATGTACATAAAAATAATCTAAATACAAAACAGAACCTAAAAAGAAATCAAACACTCTTTATCTCCTTTTGAATTGCTATGAGAATGAAAGTGTCTGACCTAACTATATTATGTTCTTATATCCAAAGTGAGCTAAACTGGGTGATTTATGGATTGTTCATCATCCCTGATTTTAACTACAGTTTACTGAAGCAAAACAGAAATAAAACTGTTAATACTGAATGATGGTTCATTGAAACAAGATCTGTTTTTGTCTTATTTCATTAAACTACAGTTTAAACTAGGAATGCACAACTCATAGCTTGCTAGTGGTCACTTGCCATGCCTGGTGTAGCCCTCACCCACATTTCCTTCCTATTCAACTAAACAGCTGCCTTGACACTACTACAGTGGGGTCTTGACTTGAGAACTTAATCCGTATTGGAAGGCGGTTCTCAAGTCAAAAAGTTCTCAGGTCAAATCTGCATTTCCCATAGGAATGCATTGAAAACCATTTGATCCGTAGCTGCTCTTTTCCCATAGAAACTAATGGGAAGCTGCTATTCTGCCTTCGACCACTAGAGGGGGATATTTTGTTTCTTTCTTTCTTAGGTCAAGAAAGGTTCAGGGAAGGCAGGGAAAATACAGTCCAGGCAGTACAGTACCAGGCAGTCTGAAGACTGTCTCCCAATCCACTCTCTAAATGCTGGGAGGATTGAGGAAGCAGACAGGCACCCTTTTCACTGGCCAACAGTTAACTGAAAGTTCAAATTTTGCACTTTCCCTGCCTCCCACGTGGTTTTTTCAGTTCTTAACTCAAATCTAAGCATGTAAGTCAAGTCAATATTTTCCTATGAGAGCGGTTCTTAAGTCAAAATGTTCTTAACTCAAGCCGTTCTTAAGTCAAGACCCCACTGTATAAGCAGCACTGGGTTAGTGGTCTCTTTCTGACTGTAGGTGCAGGGAGAGGCAGTATGAGTGTATGTGAAAGTGCTGTAGAAGTTTTTGCAGGATTAGATAAATTTTCCTCTTCTCTGCCTGCGTGGCAGAAGGAGGAATGTTTTATGCTCTGTGATCTGGAGGAGCGTGAATGTGTGCAAATACACAAGCGTGAGAGTTTGACTTTTTGGCTCCATATTTGGTTCTTCTTCTCTATCTCCCCTGTTCCTGCTTCAAACTCCACCCTCTTTTTTCTCTCTTCCCGCCTTTTCTCCCTGAACCTCCCGCATCATCACTTTCTGCATGTCCTCCGTCAATTCCTCTATCTCTGTCTCTTCCTGAGGTTTCTCTGTAGACTCTGGTGCGGGTTTAGGGTGCACTTCCTTAGCTTTCCTGTTGAGGAGGGACGGCTCTCCAGCGAGTGGGGTATCCCTCTTGCCCTCTGTCACACAACAAGCATGTGCAGACTCAAGCCAATAGCAGATAAGATTTTTGGGGGACAGCAGGCTTGTGTATCCCGGGTTGAAACAGGAACGCATGAGCCCAAACTTCATTCACAATTCTTCATACAGTGCTAAACTATGATTTGGTTTTATTAATAAATTGGGACAAAATGTAGGCCATGGACGGGCATCCCTGGACTTTGGAGGGGCTGCCCCTTCGCCATTTTTAAAAACAAAACTTTTTTTAATTGCAGACCTTTCTGCCCTCCAGTGAGCAACAATATTTGGATGATATGGGAGACGGGCTCAGATTGTAGCAAATTAGCCTTCTCCCTATACTTGGGGGTACTTGGGGATTGAATAAGTCAAAATGATTTTTTTCACAACAAACCTTTCAGTTTGGGGGGTGTTGGGGGGCTTGTTTACTTGGGTGTATCTTTGGGCCATTGTGAGCCTGGAGACCACATATTGCCATCTATACTGCAGGCCTCTGAAGAGAACTCTTCTGTACCTTTTCTAGATTTTTCTTCTGTGTAGGAAGTTTTAAACAATGCTAGCTCTTGTAAGTACAGTGGGGTCTTGACTTGAGAACTTAATCCGTATTGGAAGGCGGTTCTCAAGTCAAAAAGGTCTCAGGTCAAATCTGCATTTCCCATAGGAATGCATTGAGAACCATTTGATCCGTATCTGCTCTTTTCCGTCCATAGAAACTAATGGGAAGCTGCTATTCCGCCTTCGACCACTAGAGGGGGATATTTTGTTTCTTTTTTTCTTAGGTCAAGAAAGGTTCAGGGAAGGCAGGGAAAATACAGTCCAGGCAGTACAGTACCAGGCAGTCATATTGCCATCTATACTGCAGGCCTCTGAAGAGAACTCTTCTGTACCTTTTCTAGATTTTTCTTCTGTGTAGGAAGTTTTAAGCAATGCTAGCTCTTGTAAGTAAGATGTTTTGCCTCAATGTTGCCTTCATATTGCAGAATTCCTGATTAGAGATGGACATGAACCGGAAAACTGGCAGTTTGTGATGGTTCAAGAGACCCACAGTCCACAAACTTTCACACACACACACACACACACACCAAAATTAACCACTTTGCAGTTTGTTCTTTAGGTTCATGCTAGAGGGAACTGCCCATCACCCATTCCCCCTCCCCTTGCTCCCATTGGCTCCCTACCTTTTCTTGAAGCCTCTACCCCTGCTGCAACGACCATCCTAACAGGTAGCAGGCCTAGATTCAAGGACCCGGCCTGCTACGTGTGAGCAGGCGCCTGGCTGTCATCTTAGTGTTCGGTGCCTGGACACACACAGCAGGCCTGGGTCCTTGCAAGGGCCCAGGCTTACTGCTTCTGCGTGTTTGTCCACTGCTCAGGTGACAGGCGGGTGCATGAGCCCATGCAGGAAGCCTGGCTTAAGGACTCAGGCCTGCTGCTTCTGTACCTGCTGGTCTGCTGAGTGGCAGGTGCAGGTCTGCACACAGCAAACCCAGGCCTGCTGACTGTCAGGATGGCAGTGGAGGAGGTGGTGGCGGCAGCTTGAAGCCAAGGTAGGGAGCCAGTGGGGGCAGTGGGAGGGAGGTTGGGCAGGCATCCCCTTTTGCCAAACAGAATGAAGCACCGAGGGTAAAAAGTTCAGCACTTTGTTTTGTTTCAGCAAAAAGAGACCCACAAACTGAACTACAAACCAACACAGTTCATGTTTTTTTTTCTGGTTTGTGGTTTGGTTTGTGCCCATATCAATTCCTGATTGCTTATCTTAGAATTGGTTTGTGTATGTGGTTTGATGGCCAGGAGGCTTAGTAGTCAGGGGTATGTTTAAAATAAATGAAGCATATTATAAATTTTTGATTTTGTATTTTATTGTTTTTCAGATTTTAGCTTTCATCTTTATCAGGAATATACCTGGCTATGCTCGTTCTGTATATAGTTCATTTTTTGCTTGGTTTGGCAAAATTTCTCTTGAGGTAAGTAAAAATTTTTTCCCTAATTCTAAGGTGTATTTAACCTGGTATTGGATAGTTAATTGTTTTGGATGTTTGGCTGCAGAGCCAGAGGTTGGGAGTTCGATTCCTCACTGTGCCTCCTTGACGGGGGCTGGACTTGATGATCCATAGGGTCCCTTCCAGCTCTGCAGTTATCTCCTATTATGTACAGTCTTGATGATTCTACATTTTTATTAAAAAAAAGAGCTGAAGTTAAAAATGTATTTTTAAATGAATGCTACCGTTGGTCTCCATTACCCTACTCCCCATTCAGGCAGACAAGTAGCATTGTGGTTTTGGTTTATTATAGATCAAGAAATTGGGTAAATGATGCTCCTTTTGAAACTACAGCAGTGTTTCACAGATGAAAAATTTAGTCTTCAGAAAGAGTGCTTCAATTAAAGGTTTGCACAACAGTTCTGTTACTTTCTGATTCTTTTAATTTTTTCCCCCAGCTTTTCATCTGTCAGTACCACATCTGGCTAGCAGCAGATACCAAGGGAGTCTTGGTACTCATTCCAGGATATCCCATGTTCAACATTATTGTCAGCACTTTTATATTTGTGTGTGTGGCACATGAAATTTTCCAGATCACAAATGATCTTGCACAAATTATTGTTCCAAAAGATAATGCAGTTCTACTGAAAAGGTTGTTGTGTGTAGGTGTATTTTTTTTTGGACTTCTCTTTTTATCATCAATACAAGAACAATCAAGGCAACCTATAATAAATCCTTAACTCTTGGCTATGGGCCTCCTTTGTGTCTGCCAGAGGCAAAAAACAAAACAAAACAAAATCAGCTGGAATCACACAGCTATTCGCAACTTTTACACATTTGCACAGTACAAGAAAAATATAATGAAGTCTACTGTACATGGCAGAAATTTCAACATTTTGCATGGGAATATCCACTCACTAATGGAAACCAAAACAGAAATGCACTGTATAAAACTGCACGAGGAAAAATGCATCTTTTCTACTGGACATTATTTCTGTTTACTTCTTTACAAACAGTCAAATCAGAATGGACCTCTACAGAGCTATTTAGGTACTGTTGCATCAATTTTACATGGAGGCATTATCAAACCATTAATTACTACTATAACTGCAGTAAATGTATTTGTATGTTCCATTTATATGCTGCTTTTATTGCATAAAGTAAAATAATTTGGCCCTATTAACTCAGTTAAAAATAGTTTCCTATCATCATACATGTAGTTTACGAAGAGAAATTCCTATATTTCCGCACTGTAATAAAGACTGATACTTCTCTTTAAGAAGTTCAGTAATGATGTGTCATCAGTTTTCTATTAGTCACTGAAAAATTTCTAAATTACTTAGTAACTGGTTTTATTAATATTTCAGTTATTACTAATACATATCTAGGAAACCCTACCACACTGGGGAGAGAACAATCACATTAATATAATCTTCATATCCATGTTTACAAACTGTAGCATAGCATTTCAATGAAGGTAATTTATAGTAAACTTCCTGCATTTCATGAATGATATTCATTTGGAATGTTTGAGTAGTCTTGACTTTTTTAAAACTGCTTTTTTTCTATGTCATTTTAACCAAGTGTGTTTGGTTCTTTGGCCAGGATCCAATGGTGTACTTCCAATGGGCTCCACTATTACTGCTAGAATTGGCAGTCTCCCTCCCTCCTGCAATCACTTGTTTATGTAGTCGAAGTATATCTAGAGGAATGGGATGCTCTGCGGAGCAGGATTGTGGGAACGTAGACAGGTTTGGGAGTGGAAGAAGTTCCAGTTCCACTAGTGTTGGGTACATTGTGATACTGATACTTAGCAGTGGTGCCAAAGGTTCACTGCATACTAAGGGTCCACTGGCATTCTTGTCAGTTCTTTCTTTTTTTAGCTTGCCATAGCACCGTATCCACATCCTGTAGAAAAAGGAGGGAACTAGAACACAATTCAGTTCTGCTTGCCACTGATAATTACTCCATAGGGGTAAGAAAATTACGTATGTAGGCCACATGAAACTTTTAAGAGATCAAGTGCTTAGCTAGGGAAAATACAGCAATTTCATATTAAAGAAGACAGAGTGCAACTTAAAATATTCCAGTTTGAATGGAATTCATTTTCTGTGGCTGAATTTTTTATTCTGCCCTTTAGGGGCAAGTTCAGGGGATACTAATAGTACTAAAAGTGCAGGATGTAGACAGGAATTTATGTCTCTGTTTGAGATGTAGCAAATCTTGTTTCCAACCAACTAATGCACATTCAGATTTCAAGGTTTCTAGAAGCCAGCGCTTGAGAATCTCTCAGACTGTTCTTTCAGTCAACCCAATTTCACAGTGCAGCTTCAGGATTTGTCCAGTTTATTTTTAGGGACTCTGTTGATAACAGTGTCATTTCTCACCCTTTAAAAAGCTTTGCCCATTCTCCATTAAAAATTTGAAAAAAGACATTTTAGGTTCAAGGGCTGGATGGAGGGACCTTTGGCTTTCCAAATGTTTTGCACTTTTGGGTCCCAGATGCCCCAGCCAGCATGTTCAGTAGAGATTGTGGACACAGTACTAACAATCTGGAGAGCAAAATATTCAACACTCTTCTAGTGGAAGGGTAACTCTTGCAAAGGAACCTCTTTCTAAATAATGTAAGTGAATAGATATCCACATGGCATTAAGCATGAGCAGCTTGTTTCTGCTGTGCTTACATTGCATAGAGTTTTAGTACTTGAAGAATGAATAGACAGTATTGTTTGCTAGGCATACGTGCAATCGCAAGTAAAGGTAACAATATGGCTTTGGATTTGGAAGGTGTCTGTTTTGATGCATTCTCTGACAATAAGAATTTTGGAATCTTGTCATAGGTCACACTGAAATATAATTATGGGGAAGGGGGTGGCAAGGAAAATTCCACAAAGGAGTGATGAATCCCAAATTTCTTTCATGTAGGGTTTAAATGGAATGGTTCTGCTCTGTATAGCAACAGTCAACAGTGTGGAAGTTGTTTTTCAGGCTGCCTGTTTCATTTTCAGTGGTGTAAAAAATGTGCTTTGCCATTTGATTTATTATTTCACTTTAGTTTAGCTGAGCATCACAGTAATGGTTGGCGAATCATGGGCTGCATGTACAAATTACATCCATGATGTTAAAGATAACAGGACTTTGGGGTGGAAGTTTTTTATGTTTATAAATCGAGTATTGTAGATATTTTATTTATCTGTTGTACAGATTTTGTTAAGCGTTGTTTTTATGTTTGAATATTGCACTTGTTTGCTATTACTGTATGTGAGATAAAGTATATTTTCTTTTAAATTTATGTGAAAAAAATATGAAATTATTTAAATAAAAGTGCTGTGGGTGCTTTATTTTTGTTCTGGAAGGAGCATAATTTAAGAGTATGTGTGTGTTGTTTTTTAAAAGAATCCTACAATCTAATTAAACGCTTGCCTTGTTTGAATCCTGTGTAAAGTCACAAGTATTCTATTCTGAGAGAAAACTGAAAAGTTATAAGCAGTGCAAGTGATGGCACAACCATTGTTTGAAGGCAAATATTTCTGCACAGGGTGGCAGTAAAAACAGGAATGTCCCAGCAGTTTTGTTCTAATGCAGAATTTAGGTGTATTTGAAGATTCTAGGCTTGCCTACTTTGGCAGAACAGATTCTGATTATACCCAAGAACTTAACTGTCCCAGTTATTACATTCTGCAATGAGTAACACGACCTAGGAAAACCTCTGTCACATAATAATGGTTAATTTTCAAGTTGCCACATAGGACTGTGTGTTCAAAAATATGTGGCAAAGGAAAGAAATTAACAGAAGTGTTTTACTGACCTATGGAGAGATTTGCACCGTAATATGTACATGTTTAGGGCTAAATCCTGCTACATAACCTTTATCTGTAAGGCTGATGAAGTCATCGGTGGGAGTGATTTTTTCAGAAATAAAACATTTAATTCTGTTGTGTGGCTCCCACAGCTTCCCAAAGATGAAAGGAATTACACTTGAGCTCAGAGAGCTTTAGGACACAAGAAGAAAATGGTTAAGTTCTGAATAAAAATCATTCCTGCTAATATCATGAGACGTGCAGGTACAGTTGAGCAAATAGGATTTCAGCCAATGGATATACATACATTTTGTCCTAGCTATTTATTCACATTTATGGATGTGCTGAAAATGTACATACTAGACCTGCTCAGTCATTAACTAGGCCCATTATCCCTGCCATCACTTTGAACATCAGAATGTAAAGTATCTTAAGAGGGAAGCAACTCTCTGTAGCTCCTCCACAGAACCATGATTTTAGGAGGGTTTGACTCATGTGGAGATGCTAACTGATTGAGTAGCTTCCTCCTCTTCTTTTTCACCTGTTAAAAGCAATGACACAGCAAGGAAGAGCTGACACACTCCTGAAAGCATAGATGACCACTGAACAGGGCTACTATGTTGCAATAATATGGTGGGTTTGGACAGCATCGCAAGTAGTAGCCAAATAATGCTTGGGTAATGAAGTCTGGTTAAAAAGTCTATTTAGCATGTTTGTTCGTGACAAAAGTATGTAACTATCAGTACAGACCCTCATGTCCAGTTCTTCACATAAAAGGAAATGAAAAGAAGAAATTACTGTTCGGTGATAAATCTTCTAAGACATACCTCTGGCAAAACTAAACTGCAACCTAAGGCAGTTGATCTGGGGGATCATGAAATGATATCCAATTATTATTTAACACATTAGTATTGTACTTTTACTTCCAGAGAATAGGAGAACCATTTGAGATTTTCTGCCAGAGGTGCCAAAATAACTGGGTAAGTCTAAAGCACTGTGTAGTTTACCAGACAAGAGTAAATCTATGAACCCTCAAGAAACAGCAGAGAATGTCAGGACTGTAATGTAGAAAGAAAGAACTATTTGCCTTTTAAAATGGATGAAACACTAGGAAAGTCTTTTCCCTGGTCACACAGAGAACTGGGTTATTTGGAAGTCACTTAATAGACTGTGGAGTTGGCCGAGCCAAGGGCTACCTAAGAAAACTAGACTTTTGCATCAACACAGTCCTTTCAATTGCAGAGGACAGGCACCTTCATAACTATCAGAGTACCGTATACACTTCAACAGGCCCTCAAATGACTAGTATGCCTGCAGGATTTTATTTTGCTAAGAATATTTCCACAATTACTCTGGACCTTACATTTACCATCTTTGTATATCTATTCATTCTACTTTAATATTGGTATGAACGAATGAAGGATTTAAAGTTTATTTTAAATATTTTAATATAACAAATATAAAAGTTAGCATTTTACAAATTTGTTGAAAATTCCTGAAGTACAAAAAGATACAGTACATATAATATGGAAGTTATATCATCAGACACAGGAGTATTTAACACTGTGGGCATGCACATTTCATCAGTAAAACTCATGCATCACTGGAGCAGATAATGAAATAAAATATGATCTTGGCTGTGTTCATTGAATTACAAATTAATTGCTTCTGTAAGTTTTCTTTCCTCAGGGATACCATTTACCTGTAAATGACAATTAACAGAAATGTGTTACAACAATCAAATTCACTTGAAAACATATTTTCATTCTACAGTGGAGAATCGGACCAGCTTTGTGCAGCCTTGAAAAATCCGTACGTATGAAACTCAGACATATACACAAGTGCTATGAAAGCCTAATATTCTGGATAAATGAAAGACAGCACAGCTCAGATCTAGAACTAACATGTAAAGTTATGTTTTTGTCAACTTTTTTGAACAATGAAAGCAAAATACAAATGTAATACTTGCCTCCAATCTTTGGAATGTGGTCATACGAAATTGTCCTTTGGTCCAGGGAAGCAGTAATAAAAAAACAACAGTTTTGAATACAACACCCCCTAAAATGAGTTCAGGTACAAGCCACCAAACTGCTGGAGACGTGAATGCCCATCACAGCACATATATTTCTTTTTCCATCTGAATAACTTTCAGAGGACGACTGTGCTAGTCTGTTAATGAAAATAACAGATTTGTGTGGCATTTTTAAAGACCAAAGACAGCTTTATGATAGCATATGCTTCTGCGACCAATAGTCCATCAAGTGTTTGAAGTAGACTCTAATCTACAAAAGCTTATGCTATAATAATTTAAGATGGGGCACTTTGTTGACATAGCTGAACAATTAATAGGAATAATCTCTCACCAAATCTATTTTTGTTTTCTTTCCAAAATGGCTACAGGTGAGATTATTCCTAGATAGAATCACTGAATAATTAGAGAAAAACAATCATATTCTGAATTCTCAAAAAATGACAACAAAAGTCACCTTCTGTTTGCTGCTGCGGAATCTGAGTTTGATGTGGCAGGTTCCTATAAATTGTAAAATACATTTTTTACAAACAGTGACACAGACACATGTAATTAAACAAACAGTAAAAGTCAATGCTTCTGCTTCTATTTCATGAAATAATTCCATATCCTTAAAATGATGAATGATGACACCCAAATGCAACACTGGTTCTTCACTATAGTAAATAGTTGTCCCATAGAAATAATATATCTGCATCCTTAAACGGGAAAATATTAGAGATGGGGGTATTCGTATTTGTATACGAATATCCCCGCACAGGTGGAAATAATGAGGGTCCGACCCCACGATTTTGCCGCCGCTCCCGGATCCACGGAGTCTTCCTATCGTGCCGTTCTCCGCAGTGGATTAGCCACTCTATGACGTGGCAGAGAGGCTTGTCATCCTGCCTCTTGCCATGAGTGGGTAATTGATTGTGGACAAGGGCATGATAGGAAACCTCTGCAGAGCCGGCGGCAGTGGCGAAATTAAGGGCATGATAGGAAGCCTCTGCGGAGCTTGCGGCAGTGGCAAAATCGCTGAGTGGACAGTCCGTCCCCATGGGGCTGGTGAGTGGATAGTCCGGACCCATGGGGCTGGACCCTCGTTATTTCCACCTGTGTGGGCGTATTCGTATAGAAATACCCTCATCTCTAGAAGATATCCCCATGTTTCCTGGTTTTATTCTAGGAACACAGAACAAAAATCATGGACTGGATCCAGACCAAGTTACATTGTCCTTTGCATTTGACAGCATTTGGGCTCCAACATCTACAAACCTTCTGTTTCACCCATACTTATGAATTATATAAATGTGCCAATGGATGATAAGCATCCAGATGATACAAGAGGCTCTGCTCTCTCAAAGCTGAGACCATCATAGAATGGATAGTCTTTCAAGATGCAAAAAGGGCTTCTTCATGTTCTTCTACAAAGATGGCTGCTCTGATACTAAATGTATTACATTTACATCCCACTTGAATTAATCCCACTGCTGGCAATCAAATGATCCTGAGTATCCATCAGAGAGAGTTTAGGAGCACTCAGTCACATCATAGGTTAATATTTGTTTCTATTGCACATGAAGGAGCCTTTAACATAATATTTCTCCAACAAAATTCTGTGCCAAATTTGAACTGCCCTGAGCTGGTTCTTAATTTACTAGGCACATGACTCATCAGTGAAGAATGGTACTAGAATAAACTTTAGGAGTACTTTTGTGTCTTGTTTGCAGCCTCATATAAAATATTTGGGACACAGAAGTATACTTCCTACTCTCCATGAATTATAGTTCCTACTCTCGAAGATATACTTCTAATAGATCATATCTTGCATTCTTTCCTATTAAGATGCAGGGTTTCTTCAATGTGGTTCTCTATGAATCCACACTTCTTTCCTATTAAGATGGAGGGTTTCTTCAACGTGGTTCTCTATGAATCCACACCAGTGGGGGTAAAGACTGGTGTGTATTCATAGAGAATCCACTTGAAGAACCATGTTTATAGGTAAGTAACCTGTCCTTTTTCCAGTTTCCAACATGTATGCTTTATAATACATTAGCAAAAAGTCCTTTGTTAATGCTAGCAATCACTTGTTTCTGTTGAACATGGGCCACCTCCAAATCCACGAAGACCTTCTATCCTTCTGAGGTCAGTAAACTGAGGTCCCACTTCACTGGAGGGCAAAGTGTTGTTTGTATGGTTATGTTGTAAAACACTCAGAAAGTACTCTAGCACTACTATATACCATGATGCCTGGGGAATTTTGAGAGCTATAACCCTGAAAGTTAACCTTTCCACACTCTATAAGGAAAATGGTGTCTGTACTTGCTCTAAAAGCACAGGCATCTTCCTAGGTGGAGGGATCTCTCTTACACCACATCGTAACCCTGTCTTAATATGGAGATAACAAATGCCATATCTGTTGGTCATACCCTTGAGGCCCAACCCAGCACTTTTGTCAACAGAAGAGCAAGGTGGGGTCCCAGGTACTATACATGGAATTTTCAAACTCCCCTCTTTTCCCATCAGCGTCCTACACCAATACCCCAAAATATGCTCTGGAGAATTGGGGACCATGTAAAACAGCATAGGAGGTACTGTCAAAAACATCAAAAGGAAGGTGAAATTGGACAAAATTAGCTTCCTCTTTTGGTTGCAGAAGCCTCTGTAGACTTGAAACACTCATGTGAGGAGAAAGTCATCTATAGATCCAATTCTAGATAGAAAGTTTCCTATGTTGGATGTTACACTGGCTTTCAGGAAATAAAGCTGCATTTTCATGCTACATCATGAAAATGGATAGTCTTCATGCTACATTACATTTTTCTTGTTAAACTGTATATACTAAAAACAAACTCAAGTGGGCAGTTGTGAAGCAAAATACAGTAAACTACAAATAAAAGAGTGGCTTCTACATATTCAGATACATATCCAGCAATTTAAAAGAAAAAAATCTGCCAACAAATAGTAGGCACGTTTAGCGAGGGCCCCCAATGTCTGGAACATTGAGTGACAAAACTAAAACAGGAAACAGAATCGAGGTTGGGTTGGACAGAGTGATTTGGCTTTCTTGAACCTCTAGCAACTTATAATATCTCAAAGAAATGCATGGTTGGACAACTTGTCTAGGGATGAACACTAAGGCTATACTGTAACATTTTGTTCTCTATCGTAGCAAATTCAAGTGGTTATGACTGGGATTTTATTCTACCTTTCTGCTAGAAACTCTTGACAAAAGTTGTTGAAAGCTTACTTAAAAATAAGTTTTAAGCCTTCCAGAATTTAAATAACAGAATACTAAGACAATAATACTGAATAATTATCATTATTATATTGAAAATTGTCAGTTTCAAAGAAAAATGGGGCTTCCTGAAAATACGGCACAGACTTCTACATACATGAGAAGAGGGGAGGACCAAGGTATACAGAAACATATACATTTCTGTCAAACAACCAATCTGACAGAAACCTTGATTTTACATAGCACTGACAACAGTTTTGCTTACAGTGAAGGCTAAATTATGTGATACATCTAGCAAGTGGCTTGCCTTTGAATGCAAACCTTTATTTTCACAAACAGTGAAAGCCTTCCAGTAGGGACTACAGAACAGCAGGACATTATAGCACGTGCTACAGGAATGCTTACAATAAGTAACTATGCATCTTGTGCCATGAGCACAAGCACACATGTGCACACACGTGCATGCACACAAGTCCCTGATTCTGAATTAGTCCCCCTGCCTGCTTCCAGTGCCTAACAGAATTGGGGGGACTCCCCTTCACATTGAGAACTTGGGGAATATTAGGTGAAATCCAAACCAGAACCACCGATGGAGTCAAAACCCCAACTCACCTCTGTCCCAAAGTCTCAATTTTTATCATATGCTCCACAATGACTATTTGTGAAGGGAAAAGTTTTCCTCAAGGACAAACAAGACAATTAATTCCTTTAGCTAATTTTTTGTGCTCTGGCACAGAAAAGGAAGGATGATGGATATGACAACAAAAAGATGTTTTACCTTTTCCCTACTCCTTCAATTTCTCTAAGAATACTGAGTAAGATTGTCTGAGACCATGCATAGAACATTCATCCTAGGGGGTATACTGCAATACTTTGTTGCAGCTTCTATTTGCTGGGGAAAAATCCGCTGGGTAAAGTTAGGACGGTGTAAACTGGATCCAACCCTAGAAATAATTATTTTAATTGGCCAAAATCCTGTTGCTTAGGCTAGTAAATTGCACTGGAGTAGACCCAATGAAAAGAATACTGAATGTGGTGCAGTGGATAGAGTAACATACTAGGGTTCAGGGGGCCTGGGTATGAATCCCCGGTCAGCCATTGAAACTCACCTGGGATGTAGAACTCGTAAAACTGCTCCTTAAATATTTCACTTACCTTGAAAGCACTGTCTGGGTCACAATAATAAGTCAGTTCCAACTTGAAGGCATATAACATGAAGAAGAAGCAGCAGACCCATTGAATCAATGGGGATTTGGTGAGTCAGCTCCTCCATAAATTTCACTGATTTAAATGGACCTATTCTATCTGCAACTTACTATGCTAAACTAAGTCACAGTTAGAGTAAGCCCATTTGAATCAATGGAAGTTACAGAGGACCTGACTCACCAAATCCCTACTGATTCCATGGACCTACATTATGACTGTCTATCTTAAGCAACAGCATTTTGGCCACTGAACATTTCCTCCCACCCCTTTTTGGGTCCCAAAGATCCCTAGGGCTCCCTTTCGCTCTTACGAAGCCTTTTGAAGCCTTGGGATGTGGGGAGCATTTATTAGCCAAACTGCTGGATAGCTCAGTGGTTTAGGTATGGCTGAGAGTTCAGTTCCCCACTGTGCCTCCATGACAGGGTCTGGACCTGATGACCCATAGAGGCCCTTTCAGCTCTATAGTTCTAAGACTATTAATATTAATATAATTGCTGCCAGATGGCCACCAGTGGTCCTGATCCCAGCAACAGCAAACAGGTGGCATTTTTTTTACTGTTAAAGGCTCCTCCTCATCATCTCGAGGCTTCTGAAGATTTAACTTTGCTCAACAGGACTTTTACTAGTAAGTTATCATTTTTAATTTAATGCATTTGCTTACAACACGTGCCTTGGGGCTTTTAGTTTGAGTTTTCTTTTCTAAAAATTGTTTAATGTTTGTTTTATGAGCAATAGATTACAAAGGTAAATAACTAAACAGAGCAAGAAGTGAACTTGATGTGTAAATGTGAGAAACAGCTGGAAGTTTCATTCAAAAGGAAGGAAGTCAGAGGCTGCACCAAAAAATTAATTAAAACAACTCACTCATAGACAGTACTTACTGCTGTGTCTGCATCAGTGGCATGCTAGTACTGTCATAGCTGTCTGGGTGAACAGGTGGTACAATCTCACCAGTGACTGGATGAAACACAGGAAGTGTTGAGAGAGGCCATGCTATCTCTCTATTTTTGGACATTTCCCGGAGTTCTTTTGTAGATTTCTGAATTGCACTGTGATGGACCAGCTGGATGCTAGATCAAAAAGAAACAATTTCCCCCTGAGTTAGAAGACTGGCTACTCTTAACGAAAGCAAATTGCAGGGTGGGAAACCCCAACATTTCAAGTAATTTGACAAACTGCAACAACATAATTTCAAGACAAGATTCATACATAAACAAATGCTAGACTTAACATTATTTGGAAAGAGAAAAAACTGTTTAGAAAGGAGGTAAACCATATAAAGGTTATAATCTCCATTCAGTCTGCCAAGCTTTTTCTGCACTCTGAAGTGCAACATCTGGGAACAAAACTAGATGTGATGATCAACGTATGATTGCATTTATTGTGGTTTAGTTCTTTATAAAATAACAGCTGTGGAAGGGGAATTGGGATGAGGCCACAAAATGCAGTAGAGTTGGGGAGGGCTTTTTCTTCCAGTATCAGTGAAAATCAATGTTAGAACAAGTTCCAGGAGAGAATCTGCTATTGATTCCAATAGCAAGCAGATTCTGTCTTAGGGCAAACACCAGTGTTGAAAAAGGAAAGCAATTCTTACCCACAACCTGAAGGAATCGCATTCCCACATGCACAGCTGTTACTTGGCAGGGGGGACTATTAGCTGCAATCATCTATTGAACTTCATGTTTCGTTTCTTTCTAAGCTGCAAGTATGGAAAAAATCCAATCGCTCCAATGTTACCCATTGGCATTTCTTCATCTATCTCATCTCCAGATGATAAACCTTTGCCTTTATTATACAGATGAAACTCTACACAATCAAGTACGGTATAACTGGGTTTATTTCACTATATTTTATAGTAGAGGTAAGGAACCTTTGGCTTTCCAGGTTCTGGACTTCAGTTCCCACAATCCCTTACTATTCACTATGCCTTCTGGGAACTGAAGTTCAAACCAACTGGAATGCCAAAGATTCTCCATCTCTGTCTTGCAGTTTGGCTTCTTAACAGTTATTCATAGAAGCCACTACTGATACTCATACCATTCCTTCCATGAAAATGTTCTTTAATCTGCTCATCCTCATAGGGAAATATAAACAGTAACATCACAAACCACAAGACAAATACTAATATTTTGTCTCTTGTCCGTTTTATTATGACTTTTAAACCCTTTTTATTTTGTCCCTGCTCACTACCTTTTTCAAAGCAGCCATCACAGAGATGAACAAGTTAAGGAGAATGAGGATGGTACACATGTATGAAGCATGACAAGCTACTAGGAAATGAAAATTAAATGATGGGAGAAAATAACAGGAAAGAGGACACTTACTCTGGTGTTTGCATGTTTCTCTTTTCCCTAAAAATAAAACAAAAGTTATGAATTAAATAATAGCATTGATATTTGGAACATTAATCTAACTGCTGATGGGAATAGTACATGATATGGAAATGCTGGCCCTGTTACAGTAGGTCATGATCCCAAGAAGTAATCTGTGTGCAAAGAATAACTTTGCCTACCAGTGAGGCTTTGAAGCTTTGCCACAGCAGCTCTAACCACCAAAGAGGCAAGCTGCATTTTAACAGAGGTTTGCTTCTTCAGCAGTTGGAGAAACTACAGGAAAACTTCAAAGACAGTTTCACCTTTCGGTTTCTGAATTTATACAACTTGTTGGATCATGACTGTTTAATGCAACGTAGGAGCATTTGCCACAAGGTTTATGAGAAGGCATGGGTGAAAGTACATAAAGAGATGATATAGATGGAAGACACGTATACAGAGAAGTGAGTATGTAGGTTAAAAGGACAGATGTAGGACTAAAAATTCTTAGAATATGTGCATGTAAAATGGAAGAAATTGTGTTACTTGCTGCTTTTCTTTTATATCTTTAGCTTTTATAACCCTAAATTCAGTTCACAATCTTGAAACAGTTGATTTTAATTGTTAAGAGACTTAAACTTAGCTTCAAATTATCATACTGTTAAATAGTGCTATGAATTAGGTCCTCAGTTTTAGTTTTTTAATAATTTAAAAATCTGTATAGTTCCAAAGTTGACTACTAGCAGTAACTTCATTTTATTGCATGTTTTAGAACATATTAAACCTGTTTTTATGAACTGAATCGAGCTCTACTACTGAACTGTTCATGTGGCTATAAGGATACAAAATTATGAAATTATTTATTAATGTTTCAATGTACTCACACTCCTTCCCTTCGGCAGCACATAATATACCCAAGAATTAGAAAAAGGACGAGAGCTATCGCAGACGGTACTGCCAGCGTAATGAGAAAATCAGAATAATAATCTCGGCTTTTCAGACTTTCAGAAGGTGGTTTGTACTCGCCACCATCTGGTAATATGCCTTCTCCACGGATCACTTCTTGATAGGTAAAAACTTGCTGTGTTTTATCAACCTGATCAACAGCAACAAAAAAAGGACTTTAGATACCATTATTAGGGGGTGGTCAAAATCCACAAATGAGTATAGGTGCATAACCTTCATCAATTCCAGGGAAGCTTAATCAGTGGGCTTTCACTATCACAATTTATTTTTTAAAACAGGGTTTCTATAATACACTTTCTTTGCAGAAATAAGGTAATAACATCAAAGAAAAGCAATGCCTTTGCATTTTTTAATTTAATTTTGTTTAGTTGTCTCTGGTTGAAATAAACTACTCGTTGTTTATACAGCAAGCTAAATCTTGAACATAAAGGAGCTGCATGTCTGAACTGGGAACTGTTCTTGGAAATAAAGTCAAGTCCACTGCTAAACAAGCTACTTATAAACCCTACATTGCTTTGCAAGGTTGTTTGACAAACCAGTTTATTTTAAGCCACAGCTCTTACAGGTAGCAAGACACTTGTAATGCAAAATTGCAGTCTACTGCATTTTATTCCTCCTGCTGCCAAGCCACTTATGCACCAGGTATAACCAATCAGTGCTCTCTCTGAAGCATATATGCCAACAACCTTGGCTGCTGCTTTAGACTGACAAACTGATTGCACAGCATCCATTATCACACATGATTTCTCCATTCAGCTAAAGGTATGCATATATGTACTCAAAATGCACTAGGGAAAACTGGTTTGAAGGAATGGATGCAAATATCCTACAGAACTTTAGAACTGAAATTAGTTCACTGACCCTGCCTCTGGATCTATATATTAGCCCTCTAGAATCCTAAAGTAGGCAGCTCTCCCCTTGAAACTGATTTAAATTATAATAATTTTTCATAATTTATTTTTAATAACTTCAGTCAATCACTTAAAATGAACCCTTGATAGGCAGAAGATGAGATGACACATGAATATTCCAAGGGATTCACTTAGCTCTGCAACTGTTGCCTTACTGGATGTTACCGGGATTAAAAATTCAGTGCCTGGAGGGAAATATCTCCTTGAACATGGCTTAAAGATCACTGTGATGGATGGCTTAGAGAATTACCAAATGTCACGTCTTAACACTAGTTCTTTAAAAACTACAAGATGCTTAGGGGTTTCATGGGAAGGTAGACAGCTGCCTTGATCTCAGGAGCTTTTCTCAGCTGTGCGGGAAACCGGAGGGACTGAATCTTGGATCCCCCCCGTCTGCGCTATATTCCACTGTAGTGACAACAGAAAGGATTTTACGTCACTACTCACAGGATTTTTGAAAACTAAAACGTGCACACAACATGTTTAATTTAAAAACCACGTTCCTGTTTAAAAAGTACATGCCAAATGCACGCACATATGGTTGTGTGTATGTGCTTGTATAAAAACAACTTTCAGAGCAGGCAAAAAGCCTATATACTCTAGCATTGTTTCCCACCACATTCAGTCATTTGCCTTTGGGAAATCCACATACAGGACATGAGTGCAACTATAGTGCCTCTCTTGTGTACCTGAGCAACTGATCTGCAGAGGCATATAACTTTTGATACGGGGGGGGGGGGAGATATCTGGCCATCATGAGAAATAGGCACTAATTAGCCCATCCTCGATTAATTTGTCTGACCACCTTTTAAACTCATCTATGTTGACCACCAGGGTCACATCTTATGGTAAGCCCAGGAGTAGGTAACACTGAAGAATTGTGCCTCCTTAATCTCCCACCATTCTGGTTCAATGACACCGTCTGGGTTCTAGTAATATGGAACAAAAACTTATCTCTGTCCACTTTTTCCATATCATATATCATTTTCTACATCTCTATCATGTCCCAATTACTCATCGTTTTGTAAAGCCTTAAGCACTCCAGCCACTTTGATCATTTTGGTTACTTCCTTCTGTTATCTTTTCCACCTCTATGATATCCTTTTTGAAATGCAGTGATGAGAACTGTACATAAAATTCCCAGTCAAGACTGCACCACAGATTTGTAGAAAGACAATATGATAACTGAAGCTTTCTTTTCGATTCCTTTCCTAATTATTCCCAACATGGAATCTGCATTGTTTTTCAGCCACTGTATTGATGTTTTCATCACACTGTGCACTGGGGCCTCAAGATCTTTCTTGAGTCACTATTAGCTAACTGTCCATCAACATGTATGCACAGTTTAATTTTCTTCTCTTCGTGCACCTCTTTATATTGCACATTGAAGTGTTTAAGTAAATAACTATCCATCAGTCCTAAAGACTGCAGGTGTTGCTTTTTCAGGCAAAAATTTTCAGAGCAGATGCATGCATCCCTCCAAATGCTTATCTTCATGTTTTCTGTATATTGAGTTCTATGTATTGAACTCAATGAATATTATCTTAGAAATTTCAACTGTGCCATTCTTTTCCCAAGGCAACTTAAAATGGTTAAAAGCTCAGATATATAAATAATCCATGTAGTATCAAACAGCATAATAAAACTGAATAATAAGCAAATGAGTGAAGAGACTTATCAGTTGAGCCGCCTCACAGTGGACTCTTCAAAGGACCAGGTCTTCATCAGGCATCAGAAGCCATGCAATGACAGAACTACTCAGCCTACCCTATAGAAGCCATCTCAGCGCATTAGCACCACAACAGAAAAGGCTCTGTCTCTTCTACCCACCCACTGAACCTCATAAGATAGATGAGAAAAGTGTTTGCAGAATCCAGTGCACAAATTTATTTGAACTTAGAAAAGCTGTGTATGTTGACACCACTACCAACCAGTAAGTAACTCACCAAAGAGATTTTACACCAGTCTATGTGAAACTGAGTACGGAACTTTTTGTCACAAGTTATGACAGGCTCCATTTCTTGACTGCATCTCAGCTGATTCTGTGGGTTTTCGACTTCCCGCAAACAGGAAGAGAAAGTAACATCTGCACCAACCGTAACATAGACACTGGAAGAAAATGTTGACAGCTTCAGGATGGTCACAGGCAAATATATGATCAGTAATTTGGATCCAAAGGTTCCCTACTGCATATTCTTCTTCATTGTTTCAACCTCTGCTCTCTAACACACTGTCTGCTCACAAATTATTCATTGTTGTGCTGTCCAGTCAGAACCAACTTATAGTGAGCCTAATAGGGCTTTGAAGGTAAGTGAGATATTTAAGGAGTGGTTCTGCCAATTCCAGACCCCCATTGAATTTCCGAAGCTGAGCAGGGATTCCAATCCAGGCCTACTGAGTCCTAGTCTGTCACTGTACCTACTACATCACACTGGGTATCAGATTATTCATACAGTACTGGCAGCACCTTATAGACTGACAAGTTTTATTTGGTATAAGTGTTTGTGCAGTCCATTTACATCTGAAGCAGTAGGCTACAGTTTATGGAAGCTTATGCCAAACAAAACTTGTTAAATTAAAAATAAAGATTTAAAAATATTCTGCTACAAGCACCAGTATTTTCGGGAAGAAAGTTTAATGGCTTATGCCTGCAACAACAACCACACAAACACACAAAAAGAACGAAAACAAAAAACTCAATGAATTGCACATAAATGTGAGCTTTACTAATTAATATCTCATTAAATTTCATCAGTAACCAATTCCAAAACAAAGTTGCAGATGCATTTAACACACTGATCAACAGCTTTTAAAAACAGGTACTTAAGGATATACATTGAAAACTGAAGTTGAAACATAAAAACTACAGAATATCCAAATTTTTGAAGAAGAATTTAAAACATCAGTGTAGATGGAGCATACAAAACAATAGAACAGCTTCACAAACCTAAAAAACAGTAACAACTACCAGGAGATCTCGGATATCTAAGACAGTCTTTGGAAATAAGAACTCTTTGACGTGCAAACTGAAGGATACTAGTGAAAGGGCTAAATGAACTTCTTTGAGGAGAACAATTCACACTATGAATGTAAAAGCAGAAAAAGACCTACACAGAATGTGAAAAAAAAAAATTCTTTTTTGGACTACTACTTCCAGTGGTCAAGTTGGCTGAGGAATTTTAGAATCTGTAATCCAAACAAAATACCTTTTCCAAGTTCATGAAATACAATATAACGAGGGATGCTGATCAAACCCATTTCTGCAGATGATAAACTGCAAAGAGAAAAACCTAGAGAAGACTACAGTGTTCTGACCAGGAGTGGGCAACCTGAAGGCCCAGGGGCCAGTTCTAACCCCAGGATCCTGCCAAAGCCCCCATGCTCCAGAAGTTAAAATCTGGTGACAAATTGTTCCACCAATTTGCAGCATCAAAGTGCAAAAAGCTCATTAAACCAACAGGAAAAGACTGTTTCCTCCGTAACCATCAAAGTCTGTGGAACAATTGGCCACTAGATTTCAACAGTCCAGTTTGGGAGGACTTGGCCTCCAAAAACTAGTAGGACTGCACGTGGCCTGTGGCTGCACAGTGTAGTTATCTTTTATACAACTTATCATGTAATTCTTATGGGGGTTGTGCTTTGCCTACTCCTGGGTTAAATGTTTTTTTTTGCAAAAAGCTGCTTTCCCCCTCCACTTTCTTTTCAAAAAGCTGCAGCAGCTTTTTGCAAAGAAAGTGAGGGGGAAACCACTTCCCTGCTTCCCCCACACACACACTTTTTGTGAGGGGGAAAGCAGCTTTTGGCAAAGAAAGAAATTTTGGATTAGAAAAATTGGGAGTGTCTTATACAATGGGGTGTCTTATACACAGAAAAATACGGTACATGTTCTGTTGATACCAATATGTCTATTGTAAGCATGATGAGGTCTGGAGCCAGCCCAATAACATCTGTTTCTTAGTGAGTAACACTTACCCTTCTTTCATGTCATTAATAGGAAGTGGGACTCTTCCACCTCTATCCAATGCTGAGGTGATATTTATGGCATTCAAGCGCTCTGGTTGCCATACATTTTTCACAGCTCCGAGGAAGTCTCCTAGGACCTCACTTGCCAGCATTTCCTCTACATTCATGTTTTTAATGAAGAATTCCGCTTGATATGGTAAAGGGAAATCTGGTTACAAAAAGAAAATCAATTGTGCCTTAGCGTTACAAAATAACCAGAACAATGAATTGAAAATAGAGCTCTTATTACTTTATAAATAACACTGAGCGCGAAAGTGTCCAATATCTGTTACTAATAAAGCTATGGTTTAGTAACGCCCTAGAACTAATGTCCAAGAGAGAGCGCTAATCTTTAAAACATGCTTACATGGTGAACTGAATCTCTGCCGAGGTACTGGTTTGGTTTACATGTAATAGTGCAGCAAACCTGGGTCATGTGTGCTTAGAGATGGATAAGAATTTGGATGTAGGTGGGTTAAAAAGTCATAACAAAAACAGCCTTTTCACACTTCCTGAGCCTCTTTGTGAGACAAAATGCACCCCCCCCATGCTGAGAATCCATACATTTGCAAAATTTACAGAGCATTTTGGAGAAATGAACTGCACATTAAACAATGAGTACATTTTCAAATGCAAACAGCTAAAATAGACACAGTTGAAAATAAAAAGCATACTTTAGCTGATGGAGAAAGCATGCCCATCAAATAAAATATGCAAGTAAATCTGCCTAGGGAACATGTGTTAAATGCGTATGAATTTCAATATGGGAAAAAACAATCTTGCAAGTGGATATGAAACAAGCATATGAAGGAAAAAAAACACCGGCAGGATTCAGAAAAACAATGAAATCATAACTGGGATATTTTCACATCTCTATATGTCTCTGACCAGGGCTCCCAAGCTTCTGCTTTCTACTTCACTTCAATTCCCGACCTCACCACCTGATCTACACAAATTACATTTTCCTTCTTAACCAATATCAAAATATCACCTGGAATAACTCCGATCTGGAAACAAACCATTTATACAACATGGATGTAAACTATAGCACAATTAATCCTGTAAATGAGAATGGTATTTGCAGCATGCAAACTTAAGGCTCAGGAAATAATAGCTAAACAATATATGCAAAGCTCTGACATCGTTTCTACATCGAACATTTATTCAAAATGCATATGAATGCTAGAAAAGTCTTCTTATGTCTATTTCCAGCTCTTTGATTTACCCAAGAAGTGCATGTAGCTCACAAACTACTGTTTGACACTCCCTGAGTTTATAGAAAGAGGTTAGGTGCACTATTCAAATACAAGCTGTAGGTAAACGTTAACACATTTCCATGCATTTTTATGATGATGAAGTCCTATTTAATGCAGACAGCTTACTAACAGCCAAATAAAATGAAATTAACTAGACCAAGAAAAGTGTTGCATGCTCTTTCCCATCACAAAATACTACTTGCATTTCATTATTCTACAATAAACTAACAGCATTAAATTATTCTGTCAATTGTATAATCCAAACTACTTGGCAGGTTCCTGTGGACATACCTTCTGCGGACATTATATTAATAATCAAATTATGTCTTGCGGTCTCAAAGGTACGTCTGTTATATGCAGTGATCTAGTAATGAGAAAAAAAGTAAAACAGTAACTTGTTACTACACTACTGAAAAATATCATCAGGTGAAGGGAGATTTTATTTTATCTTATCTTATTTTGCATGACACACACACACAAATACCGATATATGAAATTACTTCCAAGAGCCAGAGCCAGAGAATGTGAAACCTATGGGAACTCATGCTTTCTGTTGAAAAATGGAGTGGAAGTGAGAAAGGTTCTACTTTAGGAAAACACGATCAATTAATCTAACTTGTTAGAGTACAATCCTAACTAGTCAAAATGGCTGAGCTGACACTAAACTGAGACTATACAGACTCCAAATCTCATCTAGCCTCAGCATGGTGGAAACTACTTAAAATCACCCTGATCCTGGCATAACTTTATGTCAGCATAGTTGCTGTCATGGTTGTTGTGGGCTATTTGGCCGTGTTCTGGAGTATACAGGATACCTTGTAGTTGTGGCCAGGTACCGTATATATTGGGGCCACAAAACGTAGCATCCAGACCAGAATCAAAGAGCATGAAAGACACTGCAGACTAAAACAACTGGAAAAATTGACAGTAGCTGAGCACGCCCTGAAACAAGCTGGACGTGAAATCCTATTTCAAGACATAGAAGTACTGGACAACACCAGCAATCACTCCAGAACATGGCCAAACAGCCCGAAAAATCCACAACAACCATTGGATCCCGGCTGTGAAAGCCTTCGAGAACATAGTTGCTGTGACTCTGAGCTGAGAAGGCTTTGATTCTAGTATAACTCAACTCCTCCCCCACACTTTCTTCCTTTGGGGTGTTCTGCCAGCTAATCACAGCCAGTAGAGAGATTGTGCCAGCACATCTGAGATCAGTCAGCACAAGGACTATTGTACCAGCACAAGGGGTTTCTGCCCTTTCCCAAATCCAATACAGCTAGTGTATCTTTGACTCTGCATTGCATTGCCTATCTTTAAGGTGTTATAGGACTCTGTGTCCTAAATCCAACCGCTAGGTCAATTAGAACAGACCTATTGATTCAAATGAATGATAAATCATTATTTGTAGAAATGGTATTTGCTGAATAACTTTAGCTGGGACTACTAATTGGATTCAGAGTTATGTTGTTTAAACTCACAAAATTACCAGGGAACACATACCTACTTTTTAGTGACATTGATATATAATTCTTTCAATGTTTATTTCATGTGTCTGCTTAAGTTCACACTTCTTGACAACTTATGCTGCAGTACAACTTCATTCTCTTTGTTGCACAGATTTACTCTTAAAATGTGCACTGTCTGAATATACTAGATTGGATCAGACTTTTACCCATAAATAGTGCAAACCCAATGGAGTCCTATTGTTTTTGATAAGTCTACTCCTGTTATGACTAAGACTTACACAACCCCTGTGGCACCCAAGTGTTAGACTATCTCCCCATTGGTCTTTAATATCTATGTGAGGCCACTGGGAGGGATCATCTGGAGACCTGGAGTGAGTTTTTATCAATATGCTGATGATACGCAGCTGTATTTCTCTTTTACATCTTCTGCAGTGGATGCTGGCTGATGCAACTGTATTTCTCTTTTACATCTTCTGCAGCGGATGCTGTTTGGGCCCTGGAGCGCTGCCTGGCCTCAATTCTGGAATGGCTGAAGGCTAATTAGTTGAAACTGAATCTAGAGAAGTCATGTTGGGAGGCCCACTGGAAAGGTTGGGGGGTAGCCTCCTTAGGTTGGACGGAGTTCTCCTTCCACAGTCTGGGGCCCCAGTACTGTATTTCTCTTTTACATCTTCTGCAGCGGATGCTGTTTGGGCCCTGGAGCGCTGCCTGGCCTCAATTCTGGAATGGCTGAAGGCTAATTAGTTGAAACTGAATCTAGAGAAGTCATGTTGGGAGGCCCACTGGAAAGGTTGGGGGGTAGCCTCCTTAGGTTGGACGGAGTTCTCCTTCCACAGTCTGGGGCCCCAGTATTTGTCAGACCATCTCTCCCTCAGGACATCAACTGTTCATCACAGGCCTTGTTTCTCCAGGTTGCCACACCAGGAACCATGCCTTCTTTGCCATGGTTCCATCTTATAAAATGGGCTCCCAGTTGAAGATTGTCAGTCTGTCCACCACCCTTGCTTTAAGAGAATGCTTAAGAAACTATTCTTTCAAGAAGCTTTTGAGGGCATCCTCCCTTAAGTAAACCAATTCAGTAGTATAGAAATAAATAAACAAACACACACACACACACACACACACACACACACACACACACACAAACATGTTGAATCCAAATCCATGCATGATTTTTTTTTTACAGTTATTAATGCAGTAAATCAGTCATGGTGAAATTGAATATGCTGATTTCAATGGAGCTAACACTGCAACCACTCAAAAATATGCTAGTAGTAGTAGATTTGGAATGGGCAGAAGATTCTTGTGCTGACACAATTGCTTGTCTACTGGCACAATTCCCTTACAGTGGTAGATCTCAGATCAGTCACCACAACAAGGTCTTCTTGCACAAATGCTGTGCTAGCTGAGATAATCTAGCAGAGAAGTTTGAAAAGGCATGAAGAAGAGAAGCTGAATTATGCCAGACACAAACCCCTCTCCACCCAGACTTGCAGCCACTGTACCAGCCCAATGTTTGACTAGGATCAGAGTAGTCCTAAGTAATTTCCAATGTGCTCAAGTTTGCATTTCGTACAGCTTCAGCTGATGTAGTCTCATTTTAGCCAGCCTTCAGCTGTCCAGGCTGTTTAGGATTGCCCCTTAAATTATGAGTAGTTTCACCTCAGTGTAAAGGACAGGCTTCATTTCTCTGATCTATCTGATAATGGGACAGAATGGGAAAGAATATGGACCATACTATCTGGGGATGATAGGAGTTGGAGTCCAACACATCTAGACAACATCAAGTTGGAAAAAGTTGATCGTATCCTTTATCTTGTAAGGAATAAGATGTCACAGCAAGCTCTGAAATCCTTCACTTTTTTAAATATGCCAAGTCGGTGGCATTAGCAATTTAACTGATTTACTGTGGCCCTAAGTATTTGATTAATTCATAAATACACAAAACAGACTGGAGCAAAGTACAAAAGAACAGTATGGTTACTGGAATTAAAAAAACTTATTTAAACAATTTTTCTGGAAAAGGATTTACATTATATAATAGTAGTTACTCATGATGGTATGTTTATGCCAAGTTGTCTAATGCAATTTTCAAATAAATACTCTGTACAGAACATACCTCAATGACGGTTGGCTTGCCCACATTTTCTATAGTTGGTGACCCATACAGCACGCCATCACTATATGGGGTTCTCTGAATGTATCTTAGCCAACCAGGTCTGTCAGGGTAACCCATTAGGTTTGTGTTAAATGTTATAGGGTCATTGTTTATCTCTCCTAGAAAAACAGGACATCCAATTTAAAATAGCATTTTAACAGATGAACAGCACACTGTCTTTATGCAACATTGAAAGAAAGTGCATGCTGTCAATTCCTATTCTCAGCAATGAATTATGGCCATGAAAGAATTGTAATTCTGAATGTCTATTTTACAAGCAAAATTTACAGGTACAGTATCCTTATTTAACTATCTAAGGCACTGTAATGATGTTATGATTGTATTCCCCTTAAATAAGTGATTAGCTGCAGTTATCAATAACAGAGTCTTAACTCTTGCCCGGAAGCTGGACATGCCTATTCCACTTACCTAGAAGTAAGTTCAACTGGATTCAATAGGACTTACTAATTAGTAAGAACTGAGAACTGCAGCCTAAAGAGAAGCATTTAGAATAACATTCCTACTACAGGCAGCTAAAGGTACATCAAATATCATGTTTTATAACTGCACAAATAATGCCACATTTTTAATGTAAAAATAGATAAAAGTGGAGAAGAAAAGGCATTTCAGCTCAAGAAACTGTCTAGATTTTTCAAAAGAGAAATGTAGTGATTCTTCTTCACATAAAATTCCACAGCTACGCACACCCAAGGAATAGCCCATTGAACTTAAAAGAATTTGCAGAAGTAGGTCATGCAGAGGACTGCAGTGTTAGACTTCAATGCTGGATCGTTTACTTACGCTGAAGTTCCACTGAATTCACGGTGACTTTCGACTGAACATATACATACAGGATTGCTCTGCATGTCACCATTCTACACCAGCTGCCTTCTCTCCCACACACCCAATGCAAATTCATTTGGATGATAAACCATTTTGCAACCTCTTAAAATTGTAAACATTCCTTACCAGGCTTTGGATAAGGGGGAAACTCCCCCTTAAAAGATTCCCTCTCCAAAACGTGAACAAATAGAACACCAGCAGAAGGATACACATTCCGATCGGACTGCACCTTTGAGAGGATTGTATACACTAAGTAGAGATAAGGGATGCAAAATGAAAGAAGTGTCTAAGACTCATTCAAAACCATATTACAGTACACAGAAATTACAGTTTTGGGGTAAAAGGAATCAGAAAATTATATTCCTATTAACAACAGGTTTAAATTGTGACATCAGCTATAGACACACAGAAATTGTTTCTCCTTTTTATATATGTTAAAAGCGCCTCCTTATATATGCTACAACTAAAACTGAATAATGTACCATTTTGTTAATACTGACAAAGAATCAAAAATATCAGTAAGTGCTTTCTGAATATAAATATTGTCTTAAAGACCATAATTTGTACGCTTTATAGTCAAACATACGGATATCATTAGCTCTGATCTCAGAAAGGCCTTTACTAAGACATGTCTAGGCATGCTGCCATTTGCTGTTTTAGAAGGCTGTTACAACGAAATACCGTATAACGAAAGAGTCTGCTCCTATGATTGAAAATCAACTGAAAATTTGGTATATATCACACTTTATTGTCCCTTGTTCACAGCAGAGAGTGCAAGACTACTGAGGTCTCTTTTGGAACAATTCCCAGGAAGATCTGACCAAGACAAACGAAGGGTGCTACTTTCAGATAAGGGCAAGTTTGTCACATTTCAAATGGCAAGGTTTGTTTCCATTCTTATAAAAACAAAATTTACTGCTGCTAACCAAATTGACTGCTGGATTATGCCTACCTATGGCCCTTTGTAGCCAAATTACTATTTTTATAGTTATGGTTAATAACTGTATTAAGGTTTATGTTTAGATATTTATAATGCATTTCAGATCTTAAATTTTTTTAACATCACCAAAAGTTTAATTCAAATTTTCTTATATTGCATTGTATTGTGCGGTTTTGTTTCTTATTATGTAATTTGCCATGGCCTGTGTGTCAAAGCAATACATTGAATCTGCCTGTTTCTTCATTTTTTCAGTTAAATATGCATCATATATGAGAAGGCGGTAGGTGTTTTGGCATATTTTGATTTTAAAAAAAGTAAATGACTTGTATCACTTTATAGATATGTAAACTATCTTTACTTGGACACAAGACCTATTAATTTCAAAGGGATTTACTTTGAAGTTAGTTATGCTTAGGATGACGGCCTTAATTTGTTAAAATTAAATAACACAGAAAAGCATGACACAAAGAGACCACTGTTTAGACAAAAGAACTTTTAGAAAGCATTCCAGTACAGTATTATAATTCATGGCTATAAATACTTCCCTTGTTTGCTTCAGCTCCTTGGCTTAGCAATGTTTTCCATCTACAAGGGGCTATTTTCGCTCAGTGTTATGAAAACAAGATGTGATTGTAACTGATGGAGTTCTGTTTGCAGATATCAAGGCAACAGCATCTGCTGGCTGGACAGGCAAACCAGCTCACACTGAAGTGCTGTAGACACAGTTCTCCTGGCTATGACATTTGACAATGGTAAGCATCTGTTTAAGAACATTAGTGACTCAATTTAACTCCTCTCCCCAAAGAGGTGCCCAAAAGGTAAGTACTGTAGGAAAGGTGGGTTGCGTGCAGCTCACCGTCTCACTTGCCCAACCCTGAGTCAAGGCCAGTGTGAAGAAGAAATGCCTTAATAGCCGGAGGAGGACAATTTCTTTAATCAAGTACCTCTAGTTCGGTCTTCCACCATATTACACCATTTAATGATAAATTGTTAAATAAGGCTGGGCACTGTGTAGTCCTGTAGTTGCTATTGGAATGCAACTCTCAACATCCCTAGCCAGTATAGCCATTGGTCAAGGATCATGGGAGTTGCAGTCCTACAATATCTGGAGAGTCACATGTGCCCCACCCTGCTTGACCAATTTAATGTTTTTTCTGCACTTCATGAGATTGAAAGATATGGAATCTCCTCTTTTCAAAAGCAGTCAATAAAATGCACCTACAGCTATTTACACATTATTCTGCATACATGAATCTGAAATTGTAATACCAGAAGCTGGTTTCAATCTACATCACAATAATTTGTCCAGATTACGCATATTAAATCTAAGCTTGAATAAATACTCAATGCATTTTTACATTTTGTTCAGCTGAGTAACATTAAAATAAATTTAGTGTAATCTCTGTATGCTAAAGGGGAATAAAGATAAGCAAAGCAACAGTTAGCTTCCAAACGTTTACTACCAAAAGCTACTGTCAAGGGAAAGTGAATAAGTAGCATTGACAAGAGCTGGTTCAATTAGGGTATCGCTTTCAATGAATCTTTCATAACTAGAAAATAGTACAGTACATTTTTCCTACTCCTTATTTCTAAGAAATATGCAACTAAACTTCTCAAATTACCCTTCCACTAAATCAATGCATACACTGATTGAGAAAGAAATATGTGACATCTAAATTAAATAACATACATTATTCATCACAAATGATACTCAGCTTTTTTGGGAAAAGATGTGGGTTCCTGTTTAATCTTCCATAGTCATCACAACAACACAGTGTTACTTGCCCTTCTGACAAATCTGGTACTGTTAGTGAGGCATATTTCTAACTATCTGGGTCATGCAGATAATTTAGGGCACCACAGGCTATCTTGTCATTCTCATCAAAGCTAAAAAAATTTAAAATGCAAAAGTTGTCCTCTAACAAGTCAGTAGCATTTGTTGTGATCATGTAAAGTGATTACATTAGAAGCTGCTTTAAATGTACAATTGATTATATACAACATTTTGAGCAATCTGACACACATCCAGTCTTCCGGCATACCTGTCAAATGTGTGTGCTTAACCTACATACCTTTATGTGTATGTATCAGGAAATATGAATTGCCCCACTTCACTTGACAAGATTGATCAATCCAGGTCTCGCTGTAAATTGTGGTCCACAATAACACCCTGACTATATTCAATCCCATCTGATTTTGCAAGCTGTACAGGATTAGACCTAGTTAGTATCTGGGTGGAAAGCCACTAAGTCCAGTAGGACTAGAAAAAATCCTGCCTGAAGCTCTGGAGACATGGCTGCCAGTCACAATACAGTAATACAGCATCCTATGTTTCTATTCCACTAAAGTGCAAGATAAGCAGGTTAATTCCACTGAATCAGATATTTCTTATGTTCATACAAAACTGCAGTACAGCACAAGTAAGATGATGAGGGCAATATCTTATAGCTTCCTATCATGATAAGTCTTCTCTTCTCCCACACTGAAGTGATAAAAATCTGCCCAGTAGAGGATGGTCAAGGGATTCTTACTGGATTAACACTATCAATATGCAATTTCATCAGACTATATTACAATGCAGATCCTTCTCTTTTACTTTTTTATGCTGTATAACATATATCACAACAATATAACAACAGGAGCTTAGATCCTACAGACGGATCAAAATCTTGCATGGTGATAAACCAACACATATTTTCCTTCACTTCGGATAGTCACTTTCCAGTTTGGTTGTCATGATTTATAAAAACAACAAACTGTTATACTCACTTCCTTCCATAAATTCACTCTATAGTTATGCATCATACAGGTCTTCTATTCGTTCATAAAAACTCCCAAATCAATACTGTGCTTAATATATTATGCAATTATATATACATTATTTCCACTTCTCTTACAATTTGAATTCTAATTTTTAAAATTGTTTTCCCATATTTGTTTTTCCCCTAATACTGTCTTGTCTTGGTTTCTTAGGTATCCTTCAGTCTCGAGAGACTATGGTAACGTGCTCTGTATGGAGTACTTGGAACAGAGTCTAGTGTGGCTGAAAAGGCCAATTTGAGAGTGACAATCTCTTCCACACTGAAGACAATTACAATCTGTCCCCTGTCCAGCTCCCTGATTTTGCTGCTTCCGGCACTGCCTCTTTGCCTCGGCCTGCTGGATAAGGGTCTCTTCAAATTGGGAAAGGCCGTGATGCAGCTATCTTAAATAAGAGGAAGGAAGATGGTGCTTTTTAGGTAGAGAATACTCAGAAGTGGTTTACCTTTCCCTTCTTCTGGGGCACCCTGGGACTGTGAAGCTTGCCCAAGGCCACATAGGCTTGCTGTTCTCCCTGGAGGCACAGTGGGGAATCAAACTCCCAACCTCAGACTCCTCTGTCGATATCTAATTCACAGAGCTATCCAACCACTTGGCATCAGAAGCAAGTTATTATTGCACTTGGCAAATTGCTAATGTATTTAAATACACACAAGGAGCAAGGATTCATATTATTTCACACACAGCCATTAATTTGTACAAAGTAATCCAAAAAGTGTAACTGAAAATGTAGTAGTAAACAAACGGTTGGAACAAGGAAACTCCTAAAATATTAGGCTGTTACAGAATTGTCATTTATCCCTATTTGCTGTTATTGTTAAAATACACACAGAGATTCACAACTGATATATTAGGTATACTAATCCAAGGAGAGGCTGGTTAATCCTGAACACACTTGCAGCCTAAACTCACCATTCTTCTCAGCAGCTTTTATGCTGCTGCCAATATAATTGATGACTTGCTTTGTCTTCCACTTAACTGTTCCATTTATGCCACCAGCAGAGTGCAATAAACAGGCTTTCCAAAATAAAAAAGAGGCAAGATGAATAAATTACTATATCAACAATTTCTCAAAAACATACATCAGCATTTTTCTTTTTTAAAGATTGACAAAAGGTACTGTAGCGAATATCCTATATATACTGTACGTATAATGATACTGGCCTGCACCAATGGGGGTTATTGGGAGGCAGAGCCGGAGAAACTAGAAGGGAGGGGTGAGTCAGAGTCTAGTCAGTTCAGTCACGAGAAAGCTAGAGGAGAAGATAGTTTGGGGCTTGAGGTAGAGAGAGTGTTTAAGGAGTGATTAGTCAAAGTGTGACCTGTATTAATTAAGATAGAAGAGGTTAAAGTAAAATACTGAAGCTTTGGGTAACTTTAAGAATGTACTGTACTTAAGAACTATTCCTTAAACAACTTGTAATCAATAAACCTGTTTCTGTTTAAAAGTTCACTACTGAATGGGCCTCAGTCTTTCATAGGAAATATA